ATAGTGACGTCATTTTCACATTGTGACGTCAAAAACAAGGAGAAAAACTTTGTTCAGCTTATGCTATTTATAGACCTTGTGTACGGCTATTTGAGTACCGATTTTCATTCTAATCTGAATTGTGGTTTTGTAGATATAGAGATAGTTCGCAAACTTTTTGATCACCCCTCGTACTTATGTAAGCTATCAACTACATTGATATATTTTTTACCTTGACCTCTCCTTTGATCATGGCCCCACTTCTCTTAAATTAGCGTTTTTTATGATGATGTAAACTGCATCAGCATTTAAACTTTGAGACCTTGACTTCACTTGTCTTGATTAGTGTTTAGCTCAGTTTAAAAGTGACCATTCAGGACATTTCTATCAAACCTAAACCCTCAAGTTCTGAAAATCAGGCACTGAATAATTGAAAATACTCACAAAAATGTAATGTCTCTAAATTCTCAAAGTAATGTATTTTTATCCACATTAATTTTTCAGACTTCATCTTAAAACTTAATCATATTATATAGGGACATTTTGTAAATTTCAAATGGATTTTCAGAAAATGTGAATAAAAACACCTACTATGAATTTTCCAATACATATTTGATCAACAAACAGAATTAAAATTCATAGATATCCGGGCTTTGGAATTAATTGCATAATTTTAATACATACAGCAAAACTCGTTTAGTACGGATATAGCAAATTCACGGATATAGCGAAGTATTTTAGATCCCCAGCTATATAAATTTAACAAATTCCTTATATGGATATAATGAATTACGGATATAGGCTACAGCGAAGTAATTTTTATAGGTCCCAGTGACTTCGTTATAACCGAGTTTTACTGTATAAGGTTCTTAGGTATCTTCTATTTATTTCGACCATTTACAATGTATAAAGACTTTACTATCATTGCATAACACCACAAAACACTTTTTATTTCATATCCTGTTGAAAAAAATTGGTATGTATGATTAAATAAAAAAAAATATACATGTACTCAATTTCTTTCAACGTGTAATTTTTAAGCACTTTTAAGGGATAAAAATTCCGACTTTTAATAAGACCTTTCTGAGAAATTCAAAGAGAGTTGAAGCATATTGAGAGGCATAAAATGAAAATTGCTGCATGAATAGATTCAATTTTCAAGCTTCGTTTTTGGACTTTTTGAAATTATTTAAGTTTAAGAGTTGTCCTTCCCGAGGATCGAAATACCTTAAGCTGATACGTAGTAGTGAGTGCTATTAAACTTTTGATTTTACATTTTTCTGTGGCCCTGACCTCACCTGCCTTCAACTTGCATTTTGATTAGTTTAAAAGAAATAATTTATGATATTCTTGTTTAAGCTTATTCACTAATACATAATTTGCTGAGAATTTGTCATCTTTATCCAATTGTTTAGATTTTTATTTCAATTTTAAATAAACTTATTTATGATAAAGTATGGTTTTCTTAAATGGTTTTTTATAGTTTCTCGTTATGTACGATCCTTTTGTGATACTATGCATTCTTTTCAAAACAGTCATTTGCTCTTTCTAAACACAGAAACAGTGCTGCTCATTTCATTTCTGTATTTTATGTACACCAACATGACTCTATAGCACAGGATTATAACAATATTTCTCATCTATTCGAGGGTTTTCCATATTAAAAATCGGGCATTTTTATGGTCACTTTTTGAAATTCAAAAGGTGTTAAGAAAGTTCATTTCGGATTTTTCTTTCATTTTCGAAAAAAAAAATCTAAAACTTTTTATATTTCAAGTTCAAACAGTCCATTCTTGCTATTGATAAGGTTTTTTCTGCCTTTTGTTGGATCAATTAGGGGAGCGAAGGTGTTAAAACAGATGATGTCAAAATTTATTAAATGAGTGAAGAATTTCAATATAAAAACCCAATTCTTTTGAAATGAGATTAAATTGTTTATACCTAATCTAATCACTTTTGTATGATGCAGGAAAATCTATGAAGAAACAAAACTACATATTAAGCCTTTATTTTCCCACAAAAAGCATGCCTGTAATTTAGGTGCTTTAAATATGCTTATTTTTTATGCCTCCTCTTTTCCCGACAGCTATGCTATGAAAAAGGACAAAACATGTGTGTATATTGATATTGTAATTCACTGATCAAATTAAAGTTTTGATCAATGAACAAAATTGTAGTAAATATAAACATCTAAAGGTTTCCAACAAATATAGACAATTGATCTTTACATATAAAATATTTCTTACATACATGCATAATTTTAACAAACTATATATTAACTACTGTTTGTTAAACGCGATTATTAAATATTTATATGCAGTTTTCTTCTTACAAAGGAAAATCAAAACAAGAATTGAACAAGTAGAATACATATACAATGTAATATTTATATTACATCTTCTAACCTTGGCAAAGATGGGTCAACATTTAGAGAAGAACAATCCCTAAACTTTCTTTCAGAAAGACTAAAGAACAATCTTGTGATTTTGTCAGACTGATAAAGTCATCGCAGGGTCTAAAGTCAAACATTACTTTGAAATTTTACCATGAAACGAATTTTCTTACACCCCTTGTATCATGAAAGAGAGGTCCTAACGCAAAATTTCAAGTTTGAGACCGTTAATGTAATTTTATTTTCAATGGTAACAATTTTCCATTCTCAAAGAACAATAGACACAACACATTAGTTCATTAACCTATGTTTAAACATTATTGTCTTCCGCTCTAGCGAAAGCGAGGGGGCATTAAATCTCACCCGTCTTTCCGTCTGTCAGTCTTTTAGTCTTTCAATACGTCACAAAACAAATTAATCTTGGTAATATCTTTTGAATGCGAAAAGAAAAGGCTTTCATATTATACACGTATAATACTTTTGAGAAGACCTTTTTAAAATCATTTTGGCTTTAAACCCATGACCTTGAAGTTTGAAATACTTTTGAAAAGTTAAATATTATATCAGTTTTGCCATAACTTTTGAATGAGAAGAGATAATGCTTCCGTATAACACATGTAAATTACCAGGGATATATTTAACCTTGTCTTATTAAAAGGCTGCCTTAACCTCTAAAACCTAGATACTTTTACCATGTTTAATTCTCCATGGAGAAAATCATATACGCATATAAATAAGCTAGCACTGTCTTTCAGACAAAGGGAATATTCTGTCACTCATGATGAAAACGTTTGAAAAGATTGCCTTGGTTTACCCTGATGTGTCCAATTATGTATAAGTAAAATTGAAACGATGAAATACATTGGATTTGGAAATTATAAGCATAAAGTACAAATATATAGTGAAATTACTCTTTCAAAACAATTACAGGTATTTAGTTATTTGTTAAAGGAACCACCAGCCATATAAAGTGAATAGAGTGATATAGTTACTCTTATAAAACAAACAGTCACAGCAACATACCCGGTACATGTAATTAAAAGAGAAAGAGATTCCATACCTTTTTTGACACATGCATTTCTTATTAATGCGTTTAATGTGCAAGTTATTTAACTAATTAAAATGAAAAACAGTCAATTAATCAGCACTTTAAAGGAGTTAAATAAGTACTTAAAAAGAGTTTATTTAATACTTAAAATATTATCAATAAACACTTCAAAGGAGTTTATAAATAAAAATCAAAGAAGACGTTTAAAGTTTATAAACGCAGATAAAAATGCACTCGATGTTAGCAGGTGATTTAAAAAAAAAAAAACTGCTCATGAGAAAGAACATGCAAAGGATATTTTCTTCGTCGACTAATTTTATTCTTGTGATCAATGGCTGCATGTTTATAAATTGATATTCTTTATATTAGTCTATCTGGTGAAGATTTTTGAAAGTGTGTTTTAAATTAATTGCCAAATGTACAAAAACAAAGTGTTATATGATAAATATTTACATCGACTTATGACAAGGTAATGCTTTCTTTTGTTAATTCGGTTTGTAACAGTAGCAACCAATGCAGACAATAACATAAATTGAAAACACACACTGGATAAAGTAAGTATATCTTCTTGTTCCAATAAAGTTAACATAAAATCTTCCTTGTAACCTGTAACTTTCAATTCAAAGTGCAGCTATCTTGGCCAAGAAACAGTATTGTCAACTTAGGATTGTTGCAGCTGTGTTAGAACGCACTTTGAAGAATTACGCACTTTGAAAAAAATTCTCAAAGTGCGTTACATTTTGGTACAAATCAACGCGGCTTGAAAAGTTTGAAGTTGCTAATATAATTTACTAGCTATATAAAATATTTTGATACTTACATTTACTAGTCTAAATAAGTTAAAGTTATTAGAACATTGATATATCTTCCAATTGAATGCAATTCTTATGATGTATATGAAGAAATAAATAAGAAATGTCTTTATTCAGTTGAACGTCGTGTTTTTGCTTATATAAAAAATAAATAAATAATTTGAAATTCATAGTGAAAATGCTTCGACTTACTGCTTTAAAAGCTTTGATAGTAGACACAATATTATAGAAAACTATAGGCAACTATAGTTTTCTTAAGTATAATTTTGTAGGGAAAAAGTCATTGACTGTACATTTATTGATGGTGAAAAATGTTGATCTCTTGCATTAGAAAAAAGAACGAAAATTAGAAAGCGAACCCAGAAGTATTCTAGTCGCGTACATATGAACAGACAATTATCTGTAGTTTTATAGATTTTTAAATTGTCGGAATTAAATTGAAAGGCATTAAGTCATATAAATTAAAAATATCACATAGCAAAAAATTTTTTCTACATGACTACTACTCTGGCATTCGTAGGTCTCTTGAGAATGTTGATGAAAGAATGAAAGGATAGTTTTTTGATCAAAAAGTATTAAAAGTACAGTTTGTTCTCCCGGAGTGAAATTTCCCTTAATCATAAGAAATAGATAATTATTGTGCAAAAAGCGTAACATAAGTAAACGGTTTTTGTTGATGTTGTGCTTATAGATAAGAATATAAGAAAGTAGGAGACCAGATTTAAAAAACAAAAGAAAGACCAAAATCCATTTTACAGATATCTTAGAGAATGGCTTCGGTTAGTCCTGAAAATAATGGCTTAGTGCAAGGTAAGAAAGAATAATTCTTTAGAATTGATATCAAAGCAAGGTAAGAGGCAGATTAACTGTGAATATCAAATATGATAAAGACTATGAGCTGTTAAAGAATATCTACATTAAAGCGTGAATTTAAATAGTGTTTTTGTACAAGATTAATTGATTCAGATATCAGTCAAATTATTTGAAAACAAAAAAGAGTCGTTTAAGTATAAAGCATATTTTCATGATACTTATACAGGTAGCAAATGAATAATTTGAGATTAAAAGTAGATTAAATAATTTTTTAATTAGGAGAGATGGATTATAAGGGTGGGATGAGAAAACGAACGATTATTTCAGTAGTTCTTGGACTCTTCTTAGCCGTGGTTCTTACAGCTTTCATAACAATTTTGGTGATATATCTGAAAGGTAAGATGTCAGTCTCGAACATTTAAAAAAATTATAATGTTTTGATTACTACACATACTTTGAGGCACCCCTGTCAGATATTACAGATGAATTATTTTTGAGAGCAATCATAATAAAATGCAATGTTTAATATTGACTCTCGATGGTTTAAACTTTTTTTGATTTCGAACTTCTATATCTTCGTAAAGTTCTCTATCTCTATATCCAAGACCTTGGTCTCGTTACACATATGTCATTTTTTTTTAACTCTCTATTTCTCGAAGTTTTGATTGTGCATGTATATACATAGCAATCAAATGTACAATTAATGCAGTCTGGACTTACTTGGACAAAAGTGAACTTCAGGGACTGGAATAGAAGTGTTAATTGGGTGTTTACGTAAATGACACTACACCTATGGGTGGTCCTTGTGTTAATATAATTAATTGCTTATTATAAAATGCGTAAATTATAAACGAATTCGCAACTTATTTTGACTTGAAATCGAGAGGATAATTTTTAGTTAATAACTTCGTTATAGACGTTCGTGTCAATAAGTTTTAATTAAGAAATAAACAACGTTATTCAGTGAACATGGCGTTATGAATAGCAATGAACTTTTATTAGAGCTTTTCTACATAATCATGTTCACTGAATAATCGTTGTTTATTACTTATATTTGCATTCTTTGAAAAAATGCATAAGGACAGTAAAGGAAAAAATACGGCTTTAAAATCGGGAAATTGATAAATCACAAACAATTTTTAAAGTATTTCCCTCTCAAACACAGTTATCTGGATAAAAGCAGCGCCGTCATCACATTCTCTTAATTTTTGTTTTGATGCAGTTGTGACGTCATCGATCAACGTTATTGAAACCCTCTGACAAAAATCAATAATTTAACGCTATGATGAAAAATGATAATGCTTCCATAATGATTATTACTCCAGAATGCTTTTCTATGATTTTTTTCCCAGTTTTTCTATTTATTTTTAATAGCTGAAATCATTTTTGAAATAGAATTTTCTCTTTCTGAATGTTATTACCCAAGTGTGAAGAGTTATCGTTCTTTGTACAAATATGCATGATACGAAAAATTAAAAATTTGGCAGTTCTCTAAAATTTTTTGACCAAAATTAAATTTTTAAAGATATAAATCAGCAATTTTAAATATTCTGAATTTCTTTTTTTTCAAAGAATATAATTAAAAACTTATATTTATGCCTCTCATGAAACATTTCAAATATATACTTCTGAACACTATATATATGTGTAGCAGAGCTTGATCTGTACGAGTGCGATAGAGCAATTGCACTTATAGCAGTAGCAGTTGCGTCTATAGTCCTATGAATGCAGTTGATGTCGACATGTTCATAGTGGGAGAGTGCAGTGGATATGCAAATATTAGACTATGAACTTTTATTAGAGTCTACATAATCCCAATACGGCAAAAAATGCAAACAAGACTTTAGGAAATTGTTTTATTCTTTCAAAACACGATCATTATTGTTGATATCAAGCATATTTCCTGTAAATATGATTGAAAACTTGCAACGACTGTATTAACATATTTATTTTAATAGCATTTCACACAAAAATATATTTAAAATCTTATTTCATCTAAAAGTTATTAAAACTTTAAATTTTTAGACGGGTTTGATTCACACATCCTTGTACGTTCACAACTTTTTATTTTATTCTTAATATTAAGGATAAGTAGCAATCTTGTTGTGTATAAATAACAAAGAATCTTAGAACTATAATCCAGAAAATTCAGAGTAGAAATGTTCGAAAGCAAAACATACACACAGTATATTGTCAGTCCGTGCAGTTGTGTTGAGCAGACTGCCTTGTTTACAAAAACTGTGTACGTTTCACGGGTGTGATCAATTTGCTAAACTGTATACTCAACACTTAGCACGGAATGACGATACTTGTGAAGGGGTTTTGTTTTCTAACATTTCTATTCTGAATACAATTATTTTTCTGGATTACAGTTTTAATATTTTTCATTAAAACACAACAATATTGCCACTTTTACTAAGTATTAAGAATAAAATTAAAATTTGTGAAATTGCAAGGATGTGTTAATCAAACCCAACTAAAATTTGAATTTTCAATAACTTTCAGATGTTTTAAAATTTTTAATATATTTTTATGTGAAATGTTATTATGATATATTAGTCGTGATATTATACAGAAAATATTAACTTCAAATCCGAGTCCATGCACCTTTAATTATTTTACACCTTTGAAATATATTACTTGCAAAAAATAACCTTTGAAGACAGCGCTTTAGGTGTATTTAAAGTTATTAATATATCAAGTAGTGGGTTCTAATTCCAGAATTTTGCGCTTGTCCGAGTTTGTTTTTTTTAAAATTATATCTCATTAATATTCGGAATATGCAGAGCATTTCATCGATCAGTTGAAAACATGTAATGGCCAGTTATAATGGATTCTGGAATTTAATAAAAAATATACAGAAAAATGTACAGAAATGTAAACACAAAGAACATGTTTATACTTAACCAGGATACGTTATTTCTTTTTTTTTTGGGGGGGGGGGGGGGAGAATGAAGCGGGGGGGGGGGGTCTAGGAGTTATTTATGTACACACACCACGGAAATCAAGAAATTTTTCAGTTTTTGTAGGTTTGCGTGGAAAATCAACACTAAATAAGATAATTCAAGCATACAATGCAAGCATCGCCCACAAAGATTTTGAAATATGCAAATTTCAATGTGTTTTAATTTAACACAATATATCCAAAATGTGAAGTAAGCAACGTTGGTAGTCTCCATTTTCAAAAAAAAAAAAGCAAAGAAATGAGTCATTTTGAGGATTTTCTGCATGAAACTTAAGACATGCATCAAACTAATTACCAACTTTTTTGTGTATTATCTATGGATTTATCATATTCATCTACCCAACTCATGTTAAAGCCAATTTCATAACTTTAAGAACATGATTTTTTTAAAGTCACACTATCGCCTACACCGCACTTTCTTCTTTGTCCAAATCATGAGACCAATATGTAGGGGGCTAAAACAGGGGATCAACATTTTACTAGAAATATATTGGATAAAAAATATTGACAATTCATATTTACTCTAAGAAGAGTCCCACGGATCATCTTTAAACGGAGAAAAATTAAAGATTCATAGATTTGACAAATCGTATTTCCATCCTGGCAAAGGTTGATTTTTCATGCGTTTACAATTGTTTCAGTAGAATTTGCACTGAATTATAGTTTCAATTTTATTAGCAACGCATAAAGCGTCACTCACTAGCAATGATTTGACTCCCTAAATCAGTATCTATTGAACACTATTACAAATAATACAAAGCTTTTGATCCTTTTTTGTAAATACCGAATGGACTTTTTTTCTGTAATCTAATGTAATATCATACAGTGGCTGCAACGTTATTGTTGACAACTTACACAAACGATAACGTTACATGAACGATTCCGCACGATTAACGCACGATTAAACCTGTTACCCGAACGATCATTCACGCACACGATTCTACACGTTACACGATCTTACACAATTGCTAACGCAAACGCACGATTCTTCACTCAAAATAGTTCAAAATATTTAGGAATCGATATTTTCAAAACGAAACACGACTAACATGTAATACTGATTTTAGATTTCAAAGAATTATCAACATTATTTAATCGACTTTGAAAAATAATTTTAAAAAAACGGAAATGGATATTTCTGGAACTAAATACATGTTAGACTTATTTGATATTTTAGATTATAAATAATTATTTAGGTAATTCTCCAACTTAAGAAAACGGATTTTTTCGCTCTATCAGAAGATGTACATGTAAGTGGACCGTAAAATTTGATTGAATTGGATTTCATAATATGCAGAGAGAGGGACACGATTGAAAAAAATGGCAGCATGGAATGGCTTAAAATACAAGTTATATCCATTTGTTTCCATTGATTCAATGTTTGTGAATCTCTAAAAATGAATTTGTCAATTATTTATCAATTTTGTTATTTGCAGAAATTTTAAAAATGAATAAAAAGTAAGCTCCAGAGAAAAAACACTGATAAACAAAATCCCGAAAACCATGTCGTGTGCATGTACATTCGCCGACTAAATATCTAAATTATTTAAGCATTTAGAAATGTTTATTTGTAAAAATATTTATTTTTGATGGATTTAAAAATTTTGATAATATCTTGACCACAATTTCCAGTAAATAAAAATGAACATCAAAGAAAAAAAAAACGTTAAACTTCTAAGTCCGGTTTATCACAATAGGGCACGCTATTTGACGAGAACATAATATTGTACGACTTACTATATTATTTCACCTTTACATGTACAAGCGATAATTAGTCCGTTCTGCATTTAACGAGGCCCGATCTACTTGATCTGCGCATATGTTTTAACGCAGCGTCAATTCAGGCACGTCATAATACCCTTGACTGCCGTCACAATTGAACATTGAACACAATAACGTCACAATTAAAATGACGTGAAATTGCGCTAAAATGTTTCGCTGATCTTGCTTACCTGTTAGCTCTATAGACTGTGCATTGAAAGCTGGCATTTCTATTATTTTTTTTAATTATTTGAATTAATTAACAACTTTGGAACCTAATTAATTTTGATGGATCATTTTTTTGGCACATATTCATTAATCTTATCTTGTTTTATTTCAATTTGTGAGTTAAAAAAACAAACACTTCAACCAAAAGTAAACGATTTTAGTCTTTCTCTTTGAACATGTTGAAGTGTTTATACACACTCTTTTTATTGTGGACTTAAATATGCATGGATGATCTTCAGTTTTAAAAAATAAAATAAGTCTATAAATCATTTAAATGCAACCCCCGAAATATTTTCTTTTTCTATATATTACATGATATTAGTAAAATCGTAATTTTGTCGCCTTTAACCCCCTCCTCCCTCTATCCCTTTTTTCCACGTAGAACAACGTCGCGTGTTAAGAGAAAAATAAAGGATGGCGAGAAATTTATTTCATAATGTAAGAATTATTTATTTTTAGAAACCAATACAGTATTGCTATCATTTGTTGGTGTTACGTAAACCCATTGCGGCCTATAAAATACGTAGTTGGATAGAATAAATCCAAATTTTGTGTTTTGACATGTCCCCTTTTCATTGCAATAAAGGCTACCTCCAATTTTCTTTTCATTTTTTTTAAGAAGAATGAAAAATGCATGATATATGTGAAAAACAAAGAATTGCTTCATGTATTTTTAGCTCACCTGAGCCGAAGGCTCAAGTGAGCTTTTCTGATCAAAATTTGTCCGTCGTCTGTCGTTGTCGTTGTCGTTGGCGTTGTTGGCGTTGTTGTCGTTGTCGAAAACTTTTCACATTTTCATCTTCTTCTCAAGAACCTCTGGGCCAATTTCAACCAAACTTGGCACAAAGTATTCCTGGGTGAAGGGGATTCAAGATTGTTCAAATGAAGGGCCACGCCCTCTTCCAAGGGGAGATAATTATGAATTAGTGAAAAATTAATAGCATTTTTAAAAAATCTTCTTCTTAAGAACCACTGGGCCAGGAAAGATGAAACTCATGTGGAATCATCCTCAGGTAGTGTAGATTCAATTTTTTTCAAATCATGACCCCCGGGGCTAGGGTGGGGCCAAAATGGCCAACCAAAGTTTTACATAGGAATATATAGGAAAAATCTTTAAAAATCTTCTTCTTAAGAACCACTGGGCCAGGAAAGATGAAACTCATGTGGAATCATCCTCAGGTAGTGTAGATTCAAAATGGTCGACCAAAGTTTTACATAGGAATATATAGGAAAAATCTTTAAAAATCTTCTTCTTAAGAACCACTGGGGCAGGAAAAATGAAACTCATGAAGAATCACCCTCAAGTAGTGTAGATTCAAGTTTGTTCAAATCATGACCCCTGGGGCTAGGGTGGGGCCAAAATGGTCGACCAAAGTTTTACATAGGAATATATAGGAAAAATCTTTTAAAAATCTTCTTCTCAAGAACCACTCAAATTGGAAAAATGAAACTCATGTGGAATCATCCTCAGGTAGTGTAGATTCAAATTTGTTCAAATCATGACCCCCGGGGCTAGGGTGGGGCCAAAATGGCCAACCAAATTTTTACATAGGAATATATAAGAAAAATCTTTTAAAAATCTTCTTCTTAAGAATCATTGAGAAAGGAAATATGAAAATAAATGAAATTATCCTCAGGTAGTGTAGATTCAAGTTTGTTCAAATCATGACCCCTGGGGCTAGGGTGGGGCCAAAATGGCTGACCAAAGTTTTACATAGGAATGTATAGAAATTTTTTTTTAAAAATCTTCTTCTCAAGAACCTTTGGGCCAGGAAAGACGAAACTTATGTGGAATCATCCTCAGTTAGTGAAGATTCAAGCTTGTTCAAATCATGACCTCTGGGGCTAGTTTTGGGCCCAAAATGGCTGACCAAAGTTGTACATAAGGATATGTAGGGAAACCTTTCAAAATCTTCTTTTCAAGTACTTCAAAGCCATGATTAATGATATTTTTCTATTTATATGGAATCATCCTCAGGTAGTGTAGATTGTACATTGTTCAAATCATGACACCCAGGAGAGTTAAAATTCAAGCCCCCCCCCCCCCCCCCCAGTAAACTTTCAGTTTTGATCTGATATGTGCTTTTTCCTAGTAGATGTGCTCAGGTGAGCGATGTGGCCCTTGGGCCTCTTGTTTTTATATTTGTCAATTTCTTTGTTTATTGAAGAGTTTTAGTATGTAATTGTGTATAAAAAACGACAAATGGTCCATATCTTGACAGTGCCCCCATTTGACTACAATAAAGGCAAGGTAACAAAATTTCATTCTAATTTTTCTAAGCATAAAACATACAAACATATTTCCAAGAATTAAAATTTTTTATCATTCCGTTTTCGTAATATTCAACTAGATCGGGCCTCGTTAATTATGTAACTTGCGCTTCTTTCATTTTATTTGGATTAAAAAAAACAAACAAACAAAATGCCCGTTTAACAAATAACATTCCGATAAAAACTTACAAAACGAAATTTACACGTTTCTAAACGCACGATCACGCACGATTAAAACCGCAAACGATTGAGTCTGATACATGCACGATCTCGCACGTTACACGAACGATCACGCACGATACACGAACGATTCCACACGATTGGTTTGTCAACAATAACGTTGCAGCCATTGTAGCTATCCAAATAATCAATGACTAGTCAAATATTTTATCTTTGCTAATTGGGAGGATGTTGTGAAAACATTTAAAAATGTTAAGATTTTTCAAGATCTCAACTTTAGTATGTATTTTTAACATAAGAAAATTAATTGATAATTTCTCTTGTGATTATTTGATTAGGAGAGAATATAAAAGAACGAGAGGAAGGTGGATATAAAGGTAAGTTTTACTTTTTTTTCTATTGTATCGCCCTTCACAAACCTTTTGTTATCAATGCTGATGTCCAATAAAATCGTGGACAAGTTATCTAGTGTGCAAAAATAATCATCACTGCGTTCTGAAAATTTCACATATCTTTAATACATATGTTAAGAATATACTAGCAAATAATCATCACTGCGTTCTGAAAATTTCATCTATCTTTAATACTTATATTATGAGTATACTAGCAAATAATCATCACTGCGTGCTGAAATTTTCACTACTCTTTAATACATATATCATGAATATACTAGCAAATAATCTTCACTGCGTTCTGAAATTTCAACTGCTCTTTAATTCTTATATAATGAATATACTAGCAAATAATCATCACTGCATTCTAAAAATTTCACTACTCTTTAATACATATATTATGAATATACATTGCAAACAGCATTTTTTAATTGTGCCACGTTTTTGTGCAAAGTGTAGGCATATTTAACATCAAATTGCCTAAAGAAATTGCCATTCTGCAAAAGCACTACTATGTTTACATTTTATCACAGACACGTGGTTTAGGTCAATATACCTGATATAGTTTTCTACATTTCAAACTTTTATGATGGTCAGCCAAGGCTATTTATACATGTACTTAATAATACGCATGGATTTTCAGCATTTACGGGTTTTAGGACAAGTTCACACCAAAAGTGCACAAAAATATTGCGCCGTAAATTGCACCTTTTTTTGCATTAGGGGATCTGTAGCGTTATGGTCAAAGACAAATATATATAACCATAACGCTACAGATCTGCAGCTAGAAAAACAGATGAAACTTGTATTAACTGATACTTGGGAATACGTGTAGACCTAGCGAATTGCTCATCAAACACGCTACAATAATTTAAACTAATGTATATTTATCAATTGTCTGTAACTGTATATAAATTTTACTGTGATCTCGGAAATTGTACATATGTAGATCTGTGTCTAATCTGGGACTCAAAGCATAAAAAATTATCGGAAAGCAGTAAAATTCCAAGCATGTTTCCATAGTATTTTTGTGGTACTCACTCGTAACAAATTTCATTTAGCTGATTGATCAGTTAGAAAGTATCGCCAGTGTCTCGATTAGCATATGAATTTATGTTCATAATAGGAAAGACCAGCTTAATTTTACATTAAAAAAAATAGCACGTGAGCATAGTTAGGTACAATTTTCTCCTTTCACATATACATGTAGGTAGATTTCAATAAAATACAGTGACCAGCCAAAGGAGAAAATTGTACCTACCTGCGCTCGTATATTTTAAGAGCTTCAAAGAGTGGGGCTGGGTTAAAATGCAATGAGAATTGGATGTAAACGTTATACCCCTTCTCCAATAAAAGATCTATGTCTTTCAAATTACACATCTATTTTTGTTAAAAGTAGTATTCTATTAGAGTAAACATATCAATGATTAGTTGCATGCAAAAATAGAGTAAAATTTAGACATTTGATTTCTTGCCAATTTCAGATCATCCTTTAACTAATAGAATGCAAATTCTGTTTAAAGCAGCAGCACGTTCTAGAAAGTACAAATTATGCACAAACAATTAAAAATTTACATTTTTTTATTTCAACTACGTTATGCCCTTCCTATATTGAAAGATTATGACCTGCATTCAATACAATACTATGTATTTTTCTTGTTACTGTCCTGTGATGGGACCAACTTAATTCGGTACAGACTGGGTTATACAATGTTATTTTAAAAATCATTAAAGTTATGTGATAATATACATGCAATAGCTTTATTAGAATAAATGAAGTTTAAAAAAGTTTATTTTTATCTATCAATGAATCAAATTAAATTAACATGTAGCTTTTTGACTCCTCGATAAACGTAGTTCATGATTAACTTGGAATTAACAAAAAAATATGACATGTTGCTTTATCAATCAGTTCAGTCGTCAAAATAATACTTTGCTTCATGAAAATGACGGTAACTGCAAGTGTATAGGATATCTCAACCAAATTTATTAAAAAAAAACAATTTTATGGTAAGCGAATTAAAAATAAAGCTGCAATGTTAAGCAGAAATTTGAAGCAGATTCATTTTAAAGTTTTTCTTTATCAGAGTTGCCAATTGTAATAAACATGCATAAGGTTTGAGTAAAAAATCAATCACATATCTCAAAGTAATAGAGAAATGTGAATGAAAAAAAAAGTGAGGACAAGAGGAAAATTACCTAGTTTTTTTCAAAAGCATTTGTTGTAGATAATTAGTTTTTTTTTTCAGTTGTATTGATTCCAAATGATTTTTAACAAATATAACAGTGTATTTCTAACATATCCATTCATCTATTTTTTTTGACAAAAAGGTTTTACCTTAACTTTTTGGAGATGCTTTAAAAATATTTGAAAAGGATACTGTAAGCCAACTATTATTCGCGACGACTTTATTTCGCGATTTACCAAGGGTAAACTAGTTTGCAACGATTAATTTTTGCGATCAAGCCTATTTAGGTTCTCTTGTTGATAGAAAATGATTTTTAACAAATATAACAGTGTATTTCTAACATATCCATTCATCTATTTTTTTTTGACAAAAAGGTTTTCGCGAAAATTTTTGGAGATGCTTTAATAAAAGTTGGTTTACAGTGTAATGGGCCCAGTTAGAAAAATTATAATTGTGGCAATATGATTTCCTGGTAACCTTGATTATTAAAATTAAATGTGTAAGGATTGATATTAGCTTGTTCCTATATTTTAAAACTTCTATATCTGGAAATTCAGACCTTTATTCTAGTTTTTGAATCAAGTCGCCATACACATTTCTTGGGTTTGCAGTCCATATTCAAAAAGTCATCAAATCATTTAAATACTAGTACTTTTTCTTACAGTTAATGCATGTGACAACCATGACTGTCAGAATGGGAATTGTGTGGCAGACAAATCCAGAACACGAGGATACACGTGTAATTGCACTCTTGGCTATGTCGGTCATAATTGTGAAGGTAATCTATCCACCACCTTCGAAGTTTATAAAAGCAACTGCATCCGGTAATGATGAGTTGTTTTAGGTTTGTTTCTTAAACAGTTTATGGAATTAATATTTAAATGTATTGTCCACGTCAGCTGTATAAGAATGTTGATGTGTGAAACGGGACTTAGATATGTGTTTCTATAGCTGATGCATGTAACATCACCTATTGTAAGAATGAAGGCAGTTGTGAAGCAGACCTGAGTAGAGTACTAGGATACAAATGTCGATGCACTATAGATTATGTCGGAGAAAATTGCGAAGGTAAAATGCTTATTATTAAACCCAACGAGTCTCTTAGAAGTCTTCTTAAACGTTTAAAGTATAACTACAATGTAAATGTTTTAAATGATATACACCTATGTAAATAAAAAAAACCATTTTCTTGTAAAAACTATGTTTTGAATTCTTTACTCTTAACTAAGAACATTTCTATGTGAATAAGCATTTTTGTCTCTGAAGTCAGCGTATGTGAAAACGGTGAATGCCAAAATGGAGGTACATGTGTGAAAGACCAGACCAGGATAAAAGGGTACGCGTGTACTTGTCAGCCTGGTTATCTCGGTTACAATTGTGAGGGTAAGCTAGCTGTCTATTGCTACGATGTCACGACTTATACATTTCTTAACATTCAATTTTATATCAGTGATGTTTGGATAAATTTGATGCACCTATTCTATTATATACAATATTAGCCTTTTATGTATCACAGTAACACTCAGAAATATGGAAAACACTGATGACTTATCCTGTGCTATAAAGAAATAAAAAAGAAATACGTTGAAATGATTTTTTTTTAATATCTAATTTATTCATATTTTCAAATAATTGAAGAACGCAAAATGTACAACATTCAATTTAAAAACAAAGTGAATGAAAAAAATCAAAATTGGGAGATCATTTCTGGTGATAAGAGGAATATATTAAGAACGAAAATTCGCAGAATATACAGATTGTTTCAATAACATGGAAGTTTAACTGTACATATTTTTTTACTCACAGAACATTTGAAGTCATTAAATGACTTAAATATTCACTGTAGATTCAAATGATATTTTGATAACAAATTTGATGCATACCACAAATTGTAGATGAATTGAAAAAAAGTCAACAACAAATTAACTTTTTTTTCTCTTTTTGTCAAAATTTGTTGAATGACACAAGTTCCAGTTTTCCTTTGTTACTAACGCAAACGATACTTTTTTTTTTTACAACTAAGCACTGAAATTACTAAAATGCTTCACATTTTGAAATAAAGAATTGTTATTTTCCTAGAAAGAAGTTATTGGTGGCAAAATAGCAATAAAACATTTTGACCACCGTGATGAATTCTTCTTTTCTATCGTCAAAATTCTTTTTCATTATAAAGGAATATACCATTATTTCCTACATAGGGAGTTTATGCTTCCGAGTTAATTCGATATGCAAGGGTGTCCGTGTTACTTCTGATCCAAATTTGTATAGATTCAAAAGACTTTCGAGCTTGATAAGTGTTTGTCAACCTCACATTTCAATTCATTATTCAATTCATTATTCAGGTTTCATTCAAGTCATTCAGCATAAGCAATAGAACTGATGTTCACTAAAAAAGTACGGACTGATATTTTCGGATGTATTTTTAAATTTTTAAATGCGTTAAATAACAATTCATATATTCATTTTCTTGAAGAATTCAAATTTTAGAAAATAAAATAAATCTCTCTCTCTCTCTCTCTCTCTCTCTCTCTCTCTCTCTCTCTCTCTCTCTCTCTCTCTCTATATATATATATATATATATATATATTGCAAAAAGGTAATCATTTTTTCTTCTTAGTTCTTCCTATGGATTGTAAGGATTTACATGAAAATGGTAAAACTGTATCTGATGTATACACAATATATCCGTTTGGTAACATGGACGATTCTGTCAGCGTCTACTGTGATATGGATACAATGGGAGGGGGATGGACGGTATTTATTTACTATTATGACGTCACTATTCACGGTATCTATTTATCATTTATGAATCTTCATGATCTTTGAAAAAAAAAAGATATATAAGATTTGAATCATTTCTTTTCCTTATCAACACACAATTACAACAATCTAAGGATAGAATAATTCGGTTTTCTTGTTTTTTGTGTATATGTTTAAATCAAACGTTAAGCCAATCTCTTTCAGCTAACCAAAAATAACATATATTTTTTGGTGAGGCGATGGAGTGATGCCATTAAATTTTCTATTGACTATACAATTCTGATTTTATATATTTGTTTTTCAAGTTTTTATGCAAATATTTGACTTGAGTCAAACTAATCTGGTCACAATCAGAAAAAAAAATGAATCTTTCAAAGGCAATCCAGAAACGGGTCGCTGGATCAGTGGGCTTTCAAAGGAAATGGATAAAATATAAGGAGGGTTTTGGTGATCCAAACGAGGATACATGGATTGGTAAATAAATATCTATATATCAAGGGTGTTACCATATTTTCATATTTTCACATATTCCATATTTTTCTTTTATTTTCAAAAGAAATAGGAAGTGAATTTAATTACAATTTGTGATATTTTATGTTGACAGAGTCCATTCTTGCTACTAATAATAATGTTTTAACTGACTTTTGCTGAATCAATAAGGGGAGGTCAGGTATTAAAACAGATGATGTCTGTGCAGAGTGACATTTATAAAGCATACAAGTCAAAACATCCTTTCCGATACAATGCAAAAATTATCAAGTCGGAGAAAAATTTTAAAATGACAAACTTATTCTTTTTAAAAGTGATCTGTCGTTCTTGTACCTACTTATCAGCTTGTCTGCTGCAAGATAAGCGATGAAAAAACAAAAGTAAATTATCCTTTATTTTCACTCAAGATGACCAGCATTTCTATCTTTCGGGTGCTTTAAAGATGTCATATATATATATATATATATATATATATATATATATATATATATATATATATATATATATATATATATATATATATATATATATATATATATATATATATATATCTTCATGTGAAAGAAAAGTCCTTTAACTTCCTGCTAAAAATGGATTTCTATAAATCTTAAGCACACTCTTATAATATTGTCAGACTTAAAAATTCATCGCATATGTTAATCCCTTCTTTGAAATCTTTGAAAATATTACATCGTTGAACCTACTTTCTTAACACCCCTTATATTGACCTAGAAAAACAAAGTAATAGCCTGAAAAAGATAATTTATTCATACCTGCATTGCATTACATTTTCAGTTGATTAAGAATATCACCTATTACAGGTAATGATGTGATCCATCAGCTAACAAAAGAAAAGAAGACATCTCTTTATATATCCATCACACTACAGAATGACACAACACTGTATGAGTTGTACGAACAATTCTCTGTGGCTAGTGAAACAGACAATTATCGACTCTTTCTGGCAGGAAAAGCGACTGGAACATTAGGTACATGAAAGAAAGAATTTAGTTTTCTCAGAGAGAGAGAGAGAGAGAGAGAGAGAGAGAGAGAGAGAGAGAGAGAGAGAGAGAGAGAAGAGGGTGCAGAGGGTGCAGAGAGCACAGAGAGCACAGAGCAACTCATTTGAGATTGATAATGTCAAATAAATAAATAAGAAGTAAATTGTTTGTTATACCCTAGGACTCACCTTAAATCATATTTTTATTTTAGGAATTACTCTAACTTTGGCCAAATTATTCGAGTTTAACCTAATTTGGGTCAGGTTACGCTTTATATCTATTGTTTTATTTTGATTTTAATTTTCTATAGCAAAGTTTCATGGATTTTAATACTGAAAAACCTATGAGTCAATTTTTGTTAGTGAGGTTAATTTAGTCTGAACAGCGAGATAATATTCGCTTTCATTTAATAATCGGTAAAGGTAATTTTTGTAAGATAAGTTGCAAGTTTATTTTTTTTCACTATTCATGAAATATATTTATAGTTTTAGAAGTGTTAAAAAGAAGGAAATTGACGCCATTATTTTCACTTATCTCTCTCTCTCTCTCTGTATACTTTATCTTTCTGAACCAATGTTCTGTTCCTTTTTTATTAGGTCTCTTTGTACTTATAATTTTATTGATAAAAAGAATATCTATGCAAGAGTTTATATTGTTACGCCTAATTCCTCTTCTCAGGTAACGGTTTTCTTATACAGAAACCCGGTACAAATGACGGTATCAATAAACAACATCTCCCTGTACACGTGAAGATATCGAATATAGCTAGCTGTTGAGAATGTTATTATACGGTATGTCCTTATACATTAATGACTTCATTGTTGTTGAATCTTTCTAAGAAGAGATAGCGTTGTTTCACCAGAGCTCCATGTACAGGTGACGGTCAGTCACTATCACTATTTGATATATCATATATCTCCGCACAGATGACGGTGTTGATAAACAAATTATCTCTATCCCGATGATGGCATTTTTATATCATATCTCATTTTATGTGTGGATGCATTGTTATGCGAAAACTAGGTGTACATGTAAAGATGTGTTTAGATGGCATCTCCTTCTACAGTTACTGTTTTGATGAACGAACTTTCTTTGTATAAATGACGGTATTCATATATCGAATATCTTCTTTCATGTGGCAGTATTGTGAAAATGTGTTTCCCTCCCCATATGTAACAATTTATTTATACCAAATATCTCTGCACAGGTGAAATTATTCTTACGCTATATCTTTAAGGTGTGAACTTTGTTTTACCAGATCATTTTGTATATGTTAAGGATAATTGTAATTTTCAAATTTTAAGACAATTACTTATCCATCAAATTTTACAGTACTGCGGATAATAATGATTCGAATTATCTTTAAAACATTGTTTTTTTTTTAATTGCAAAGGTGATAGGATGATGAACATACCGTATACAGCATATACGCTAAATAAGATGTCCTTTAGTACATTCGATAGAGACAACGACAATAAGCAAGACGGCAAATGTGCTAATAGACACAAGGGTGGATGGTGGTTTAACGATTGTTATTATGCATTTCTCAACGGACCCTGGTCTTTTAGAAACTGGACTGACCCGTGGAGTCCTAAAGTTACATCTGGGACACAAGTGAAGAAAACTATGATGATGGTGAAACGTGTCTAGCAACACTGCTTATTTTGTACATAAACTGAGACTTATTCTTTATAACAGCCAGGACAAATGTGAAAATGGGACTGATGGATTTGATAACGTGCCGATGGATATCAAAAAAGTTCAAAAACAGGGATAGCTGGTGGTGCGTAATGGTGTAATCGTGAACATGTAGATTGATCTTTGCAGCTGTACTATGGCTGACCAATGACTTACATGAAACATGCGTTAGAAAAATGCTGTTGTATTATAAGCTATGTTTAATTTAAATTTGTAAACTGTGTATTTATGTACAGTAAACCTGTACAAAAAAGTTTAACTTTGCTGATCATATGACGGACACATAAATTTTCTTAAATATTACACAAAATTCTCATTGGCACTTGTAAAACAACTTATCACTTTAACTTTTTTTTACATAATAAATTCAAACTCATTCTTATTCTTTTTATATAATGATGGGGATAAGCCTAAATTTTACTTAATTCTTAAAGAAATAGTTTATGTAGAATTCATCTTATCAACATTCAAAGTGTTATTTTCTACTCTTCATCGCAATTTATACAAAATAGGATAAATAACATGGAATCCCCTAACAAAACTCAGTTGGAGGACATTACCTAGTACGAGGGTCGTTCAATAAAAACAATGGAGAAAGGTCAAATAAATGTAGAGATCAGATGCATACATATGTATAAAGTTGCATACATCGTGAACTTACCCAAACTTGTGTGGATTGGACTGATTAATGAAAGATTTTTATGCTCCCCTTTGAAAAGAAAGTATAATTGTTATGCTTCTAATGGTAGGTCTGACGGTTGGTAAACCAAGTGTTGTTTGCAATTGCAAAATATCTTAAAAAAAAACAAACATTAGCTTGACGGACATAAAACTTCACTGGCACCCACTTAAATAGGACATGACCCATATTGATTTAGAGATCGCAAAGTCAAAGGTCAAACTCCTCTAGACATAGTTCAATACTGTTCTTGAGAATCATTTGCTCTTGACAGGCTGCAAACATGAACATTGTTTGCCTTCAAGGAGTCGATGACCCTCATCAATTTTCATGTAAAAGTCGAGGGTCAAACTGGACAAGCAAGAATTGGTGATTCAATATCTTGAATTCCCTTTTCTCCAATGACATAAAATTTGATATACTAGTATCTATTGAGGAGTAAATGACCAGAGTTGGAGGTCACAAACTGAAAGGGCAAGAGTCATACTGGACATGAGAATATATTAACCACTATATCTTGAGAACTATTTGCTTAACAGACATCAAACGTAGTACATGTACATTGGTTACCTTCAATGAGTACATAACTATTGACCATTATTTATTTTTATGTAATAGGATCAAGGGTCAAACTGGGCAAAGGAAGATTTTGAGAACCCTTTTATTGACATACATCAAATTTGATATGCTAGTATCTATTGAGTAGAAAGTGACCAATTTAGATTTGGAGGTCACAAAGTCGAAGGTCAAGGGTCATACTGGACATAAGATTATATCATCCACGAAGTAAGGAGTAAATCCTTATGTCGCAGGTTCGAATTCCACTGTCAGACATGGAGACCGTCCTTCAGATAAGACGGTTTAAACCGAGATCCCGTGTCTCAGTAGATCTTTGCATGAAAAAGATCCTTCACTCCTTAAGGACCATGAGTGTCGAGTATAGGACACAATTTGCAGCTCGCTCTCCACGTAATGGTGGCGTATCCATATGATTGAAAAATTCTCGAGAGGGACGTTGAAAGACAAACAAATCATCGAGTACGTGATCTCTATTGATTTTTATACAACAAGGTCATGGGCCAAACAGGAAATAACAAGATAATGACCACTCAATTTCTTGAGAACCCTTTTCTTGTCAGACATCAGATTTGATATACTAGTTTTTTGAGGATTGCACGATTGAGTAAATGACCACTGTTGATTTGGAGTTCACAAAGTCAAAGGTCAAGGGTCAAACTGGACATAAGAATATATTATATACTTATTGATTTTCATGTAACAAGGTCAAGGGTCAAACTGGATATTGCAAGATATTGACCGTTTAGTATTTTGAGAACCCTTTCCTTTTCAGACTTCAAATTTGACAACCTAGTTTCTATTGATGAGTAAATGACCACTGTATATTTGGAGGTTACAAAGGTCAAGAATCACAATAGACAGAAAACACATTAACCATTCAATATCTTAAGAATTCATTGCTTAAAGGACATCAAACGTAACATATTGGTTGCGTCCAAAGAGTAGATGACCCCTATTTATTTCTACGACACAAGGTCGAAGGTCATACTAAGCATAGGATTATTTTGATCACTCCATATCTTAATCCTTTGCATGACAGTTATCAATCTTGGTACATTTGTTCCCACTAGAGAGTAGATGATCATGATTTTGCAGTCACAATTATCAGGCATGAAAACAATATACATACTTTATATACAGGAAGATATTGCCAGCTCAGTATGTAGACAACCACTTGCTTCACAGAAATCAAAGTTAATACATTGGTCCCCTTTGAGAAAATAACCCCTCATGATAATGAGGTCTGATAGAGATTATGTTTGCCCTTGACTAGTTAATGACAATTGTTTTCATTATGACTACAGACATACAAAATTTAAAGTTGTTTCAACTTTATAATGCTGCATGGTGGGCATACATATTTTAAGACAAATATTGTTTCACTCATCGTGCGAATTAATATTAGGAGCAAATTGAAATCTAAATTATGTTATGGATATATTGTGGTACATCATTATATTACCATATTTTTTTGAAAATGAGTAATTACATGATAATTTCTCGTATATTGGAAAATGATATGGCATCTTTAGTCCTAGTTTCTTCATTTAGTGACATTTCTTGTCCTATGGGAGAAATAATCCTATTTTGCATCAGTCAAAGCAAGGGATTTTTTCCTCACATGAGACAATTTATCCCGCAGGATTATTTCTCCCGTGGGATTTTGGTGGGATTGAGGTGGCATGAAAAATTCTCCCATTCTCACGTGGGATTTTTATGCTGGGAGAATTTTTCAAGAAAACCACTACATTGTGAAAGCTAAGGTTGACATAAGATGGTCATAATAAAATTTTCCACCAAAATCCAGGAAAATTTTTGAATTATGTCTTTCAGAAAGGGTAGCTGAAAGTCCGGACTTTGTCGTGTCCAGACTTAAATGTCGCAGTGTTTCTATTCTATTATTTTCCATTATATAGCGCCCATTGAGTCTTAGGCTTAAAAAAAAACTACTATGTCATCACGTGACATCTATTATTAAAGAAATGTGTTTATGAGAAAGTTAAAAGTTCAACACTAAACTGGAGATAATCAATTTCCTTTTGAGAAAATAATAATATAAACGCATTACTGGGACATGTAAAGTGCTGCTAGATACCCACCTCCCCGTCAGAGAAAAAAAGCATATTGCAAGGTTTTGAATGAAAATTCTCCAAAATTTTTACATTTTTTGTGCACAATCATGGAAATGTCATCAATTCATGTTAGCCACGTGATTCTAGCAGCACTTTCCAAAGACTATAAAAGACAAGTTTCCGAAACAAACAAAATATGCCTCAGATTGTGCGGCGTAGTTTTGAACTTTTGCATCTTTGTTGTAGGAAGGACAGAGGAAAGACTGATTGGGAAAACAGTGGCTAAATTTGTCTGTGATATGCACTCTTAATACTCTTACGAAGATTTCATTCTTGTCCCCTTAGATTGACCCTTTTAAAAGTTATTGCCCCTTGTGCGAAAAACCTTGTTATCGCTACTCCTCGGAAACCATAGACCGTAGGGACACCAAATCTTCGCTAATGTCTTAAGGGTCTTCAGGCCTATCTTCACTGTATAAGTGCGAAAGGATCTGATGACCCCGTATATGAGTTATTGCCCTTTAATCTTTGTACTTACTATCAAACCTTATAACTTGAAAAGTATAAGTCGTAGAGGCATGGGGTCAATTGCATTGTGACCCTTGACCTTTGACCTTGAATATTTTTTTCAAAGTCAAAGGTCAAGGCCATTTAAAATTTTTTAATTTTTCTTAATTTATCCCTTAAGGACAATTTTGTTTTCTTATTCATGGAATTTAATTTTTAGGAGTCAGATATAAAACAAATTTGAAATTCAAAGAAGGTGGAAAGACCTCTTATTGTTCTGTGAACAAGACGTCTCCTAGTTATTATTAGGCCTTTCCACCTTTCTGTGGAAAGACCTCTTGAAATGCTCATGTTTGTTAGGTCTTTCCACCTTTCTGTGGAAAGACAGCTTGAAATGCTTCTGTTTCTTATTATTTTATTTCTCACCTTAGCTTTTGAGACCGTATGACTTATCGAAAAACTTTATAGTTTATCATATTGAATATTTAAAGTTATTCCGAAAAACCACCCCCCCTATGTTTGAACTTTGACCCCTTACGTAGTTACTGACCCTTTCACCATAAAGCTTGTTATCTCTACTCCTCCGAAAGCGTAAACCGTACAGATACAAAATCTTCGCCAATGTCTTCAACTAATTTAGGAGACTTTTCAATTTATTCATTGCGAAAGTTTTCCTCGACCCCTTCAATGAGTTACTGCCCCTGTAAGTTTAAAAATTCTATAAAAAATTAAAAATTTTCAAAACGAGAAGCCGTAGAGACATGAAACCAACTGCATAAGATTCATTGACCTCCGACCTTTAAATTCATTTCAAGGTCAAAGGTCAAGGTCATTCCAAATATGAGGAATAAATTTCTTTTAATAACTCTTATGTCCTTAAACATACACTATCTATATTCTGACTTTAATATGTACTCTTGAAACTCTTTCGGAGATTTCATTCTTGTCCCCTAAGATTGACCCTTTTAAAAGTTATTGCCCATTGTACTAAAAACCTTGTTATCGCTACTCCTTCGAAACTGTAAACCATGGAGACACAAAAACTTCACTAATGTCTTCAGGGCCCCTAGGCACAACTTCAGTCTATTCAATGCGAAAGGATCTGATGACCCCTTGTAGGAGTTTCCGCCCTTTAACGTATTTGCACTTTCTATTAATAACCCCTTAACGGCCAAGTGCGCCTTATGACGCATTTTCAGCATCACAGTGATTTAACTGTTGGCGTTTTGTAAATAATTGGGATACAACAAAACAATTGATATT